TGATGAGAATAACGACTCTGAACGGTACAACGAACTTCGAGCCATGGAAGCTGAGGTGAACAAACAATGTCTTATGGAATAGCTAGCTTTTATTTAGGAGACACATTAATAAACTAAGACATCATAATTATACTGCAGAATATTACCACTAGTAGATTATTGTTGCAGGCATTTAGTGGTTGTCAAACTTTGTGTAAATAACACCTTAACATGGTACTTCTACCCTACAGTTATTTTGGGTATTTGAATGTTCTGCTTTGAAATCAATTTTCCATTAATGTTTGCCTAGAGTTGCATCCTGGTGATTTCTTACCTTATTGTTAACCCTCCTAGTTATCATAATTTTCAGTGTTCATTTTGTGTTGTTTGTTTAAAATGTGGTGTTAGTTTCTTTGCTGAAATACTACAAATTTATGTTTCATTTTGGTGTTCTGCAGGTAAATCTTTATATATTAAAGCTGCTACCTTTGGATCAAGAAAATCATGTCTTAGCTCATCAAGTGCGCTATCTTGCAATGTTGTTTGACTATTTCATGGATGGGGCATCTCCAAGGGCAAAATGTACTTCTGTTGTTGATGTTGGTTTGTGTAAACCTGTTAGTGGTAGTCTTCTTGCTAGATCATTTAGAGGGAGGGATCGCAGGAAGATGATATCCTGGAAGGACATGGAATGCACCTCTGGCTACCCATACTAGCAATAGAATCTTGGGGCATGCAGGTGAACTTGTTACCACAAACTATTGCTGTTACCACTCAGCTGGGGGTAGGAATAAGCATTAGAGGGAGGTGATATTTACCTTGACTAGACTACATTGTTCTTGCAAAGGACCATTTTGGGTGCGCATTCTACTGAAATTGATGGATCTGCGAAACGTAACACGTTAAAACTTTTTTGCGAGGGGCTATTGTATCATGTTCTGCTTTGTGGATCTCGGGGCACCAAAATAGGAATTTCCCGGTGTAGCATGTACTGACTGCATATAATTTCCCACAAAATAGGAATTTCCCGGTGTAGCATGTGCTGACTGCATATAATTTCCAACTGAGGAGCTGAATGTTGTGATTTTTCCAGATTCCGAAGAGTCGAGGATTTCATGGCATAAACTTGATATGGACATGCAAATTTGTAATGTTTGTGCAACTTGATTGGTGCAATAAAATTGTGCGAGATACAGTTCTGAACCAGGCCAGTTTTGCAGATGGATATGGCTCAGATTATGAATGTTGTCGGGAATGGCATTGCAAGGCAGGAGGTTTATTTATCTATAATTTTATGTTCGTAACTCTGGTATCTCGTGAAAACATGTGATTAGCCGAAAAGCTATATCTATACCTTCCAAGAGAGTGGAATAGCCATGCTAGGTATTGCTTTTTTATTTAAAAATACATTTAGAAATGCAGAATTGAATATTTTCTAAATTATTTTTCTTGTTTGGAAAAGCATTAAAAAAATATTTTTTTGTAAAATCTCGTTTGGATATATTTGAAAAATCATTAAAATAATACTTTTTATATGACCTGACTCTAGCTCAGGTCCGCTTCCAATCCAAAAAAGAAATCTCCAAATGATTTATTTATATTAATCTATCCAACTCGTAGACTACCTGCTGAAAATAAGCGAGGCTTATAAATACTTCTTTTCCTATGAATAAGGCTTATACGTGAACAAAATCGATCACTATGAAATGAAAAAAAGAAGAAATACAACTCTTGAGGAGAACATGGACGAAATGGTTCCTAACACAATGAATTTGCTTCCTTTCCTTGCCAATCTAATTACCTATTCAAAGAAGTTCAGATGATGTGCAAACACAGAATGTAGATATTGGAGGGTTTAATCTAAGTCACAGTAAAACTCTGGATCTTCTCACTGTAAAACTCATGTCTTCTCCATTTACAGAAGAAAAACACATTTCCATTAAATATGTACAGTCACCTACCATACATAATTTTCGACTGTATAATCACAGACCACCCTTTCAATTCACCATGGACCTGTCTGAGTTCGTCTCAAGCACCGTCTCTTACCCCCCTGCTGCAAAGTCATCATCTCCATGACCTATGATACCACCAAACGGAGAAAAAATACCAGAAAATAAGTAAAGATACTGTCCATAATTTGAAGGCACTATGTCTGTAATGCCTTCAAGCAAACCATTAAAAAAGCAATAATATAGAGTTATGCATGCATAGCCGCACGCATAATGTAATTCCTTTTAGTGACATTAGGCTTGGACATCCATGATAAAGAAAACAGTGGAAAATACATGCAGACTATTCAAATCACCAAGCGGATAAGAAAACGATATAGATAGCAGCATTGACTGGCCATTAGACAGGTTATGAGCAAATAGGCATGATTATTCGATATGTTTTGATGTTTTTCCTTTTAGTAACCTTGGCTTGGACATCTGTAATAAAGAAAAAAGTGGGAAAATTCATGCAGACTATTCAAATCACCAAGCAGATAAGAAAACGATATAGATAGCAGCATGGACAGGCCATTAGACAGGTTATGAGCAAATAGGCATGATTATTCGTTATGTTTTGATGTTTTTCCTTTTCGTAACCTTGGTTTGGACATCCGTAATAAAGAACAAAGTGGGAAAATTCATGCAGACTATTCAAATCACCAAGCGGATAAGAAAATGATATAGCTAGCAGCATTGACTGGCCATTAGACATGTTATGAGCAAATAGGTAAGATTATTCGTTCTATCTTGAGTAATAGATAGATTTGGCACCTGATTTTTCTGCATTTCCATCATTTCTGCCTGCAGCGACCAAACCACAATCAATGATAGCTAAACACGGATTTTGAATTTGTAATAGATACTGATACCACGAGTGTGTGGGTGTGATATGGCAGGCACACATAATTGTAAGTGCAATAAAAGCTAAAATACCTGTTTCTTCTGCAATTCTTCGTTTTCCACTTTTAACTTTGCCACTTCTGCTTCCAATTCCATCGTATAAGCCTGGTAAAAACAGAAATGAGAAAAAAACAGTATATACTGAGAACATGCTTAAAAGTAAGAATGAAACACACTCTATTTTTTAAATATCTACTGATACTCCCATATAATGTTTTGATTCAAAATAAACTGAAGGGGTTGAACTTCTAATTAACGTTTGTTGAGTTTGGCCCAATACAAGTTCAATTTCATGTTGCGATTCATGCAGAATTCTTTTCTTGTAACAAACCATTTATACCTTGTAACAAACGGGATCCTTATAACTTCTCATGACCTTGACTTCTCAAAAACTCTCATCTTGTCATTTTCATTTCAGATCGCTATCACATTACCATTCTGCCCCATAATCTTTCATGATGTTTTGGCATGCAGCATGGCCATAGATCATAAAAGTAGAAGGTTAATGGCAAGCAAAATTCATGAACCACATGAAGATAACTTGTGATGTTTTTTCTTTCTTAACTTTTGGTGACATAAAACATGTGACAAGAGGGAATATTTCAACACAACTTATTTGTGTACAAAACTAAATACACAGGTTCGTTCTTCTTTCTTCTCATTTGCACAGCAAGCTTGTTTATATGGACACTTATCAAGTGTCTAGTAACTTCAGTCAGTAAAACATGGCCAATGACCTATTATTGGCTTTCCTCTACCTCGGCACGATGTACAAGTACTCTTGTGCAGTTGTAAGAAAAAACACAGGAAATAATCACAGTATTGGATACATCGAATACACAGAAGATTCGTACTTTCTCACATTCTTTTATCTTACGATATTTAAATTGCTTCTAGATTAGGGAAGAGTTTCAATTCAAGCAAGAACAGGTTTCAAAGTAGTATACCGAAATTGAATCTGCAGCAAACTTACAAACTAAAATCAAGACCTATTTGTATACACCAGTAGATTATAAGTACAATATCAAACAAGATAATCACCTGCTTGCGAGCACGAGACCTTGCAGCTGACTCTCTGTTCTTAATCATTCTCCTCTGCCTCCTCTCAACCACCTTCTCAACTGCGCCACCTGCTCTCCTTCCCCTTCCACTTCCACTAAAAACATAAGGCACTGGAGATACTGAAGATGTATCCCCATTACTCTTCCCAATTCCATCCGATGACAGCTGGTTCGCAGGTGACCCTGTAGCGACACCTAATCCAACCACTCCCATCCCTCCACCCTGCATCAAATTGCTATTGATCCCTTGATCTCCAATCCCCACAATTCCACCTCTAATTCCAGGACTACTTTGTGGAGGCATCTGTGTCATATATCCCATATTAGGCTGCTTAGGAAATATTTGTTGCTGCTGCTGCTGCTGCTGTTGCACCTGTGCCTGATTCGATCTAAACCCGTTACCATTCAAAGGCAAATTCGAAGATTGCAACGAGATTTGAGTGGTATTATTGTTATTCAATCCCACACCGCTATTCTGCTGAAACCCAATTGTTGAACTATTATTGGCTAACCGCGATAAATCACCAAAAAATCCACCATTAGTATTAACCTTTGCAGCCACTGGAATATCCTCCCACACCACCCCAGCTCTCGCCAAAAACTCCTCCAAAGTTATCTCTCCTAAGGTAGGCTGCCTCTGGGGCACATTATTAGCAACTCCAGCACTAGTCCCATTAATAGCATATTCCTTTGACATGTCTTTCCAGACCTCATCCACCGTCTTCAGGCTCAGTGTCCGCGGCAGCGTCAGCGAGCCCTGTCGCTGGAGACCAACACCATCTTGTACCTCAGCAGAGGTTGCTGATGCCACGGTCTGCGTCTCCTCTGCACTCCATATACTCTTTAACAGCTCATCCATGTTCATTGACCCAAAGTCCTTCCCTAATGATCCTCCCATGGTGTTTTGAAGTTCTTCAAGCGTTAAAGAATAGATCGATGACTGACTAGCCAACGGAAAATTCCCCGGTGGCCGGCCAACACCGGCATCTGACTGGTCATTTGAGAAGCTCTTGAAATTGAAATTACTCCCCATTTTCAATAAATCTGGATATGACAGGGTCAAAACAGCTAAAAAATCTGACAACTAAAGCCAAAAAAGAGTTTAAAACCCTAGCCTTGTTGCATTTCCAATCCCGTGATGATACTTATCAACCAAATCCCACATAAAAAAGAGTAAAAAAGTCTTCAACTTTTTATTTTTCAAAACAAAAAAAAGTACGAACCTGAAAACACATTCAATAAGAAGAGTAGCAAAAGGAGAAAAATGAAAAAGTCTAAAAAATGCAAACCATAAAGCTGGTGCATCAAGAACTAAGATCAACAAGAAGCTTAAAGCCAGCAGAAATCAATCCAAGATGGTTAATTAAGACGCTAAGTACACTACTAGAGAATATACAGAGTCGTGAGCAATGGGAGAGCAGAGAGTAAAGGAAGAACATCTAACCATATACTTCGATTTTGTGTTTGTATTATTGGTCAAGTATCTTTGTTTTTGCTGGCTTCTTTCTTCCCGTGTCTGCGTTTCCAAGTATGTCTTTGGTTTCCTCGATTATTTAGGGCTTCTGGATGCGCCAAGTGTCGACTGTCTTTTCTCCTTGTTCTATTTTTTTTAGTAGATTTAATGACAGGGGAACGGAAGAGTTTAATGTGTTTCTTACAAGTAATCCCCACACTGTAATATCGTGTTCGTGGTAGAACTGTTGCTACAGTGAAAAACATTATTTTTATATTTATTCTTCTTAATCATAGTTTATAACAGTGAAAAATATTAATTTAATATTTTAAAAAATAAAACTCACTGTCCAAATACTTAAAACTACCAATCTCTCCCAGGCAAATGTCTGTGAGTGTGAAAGTAGGTTTATTTACCTCTATTTTCAAACCACCTTTTCATAGTCAAAATTAATTTCTTCAAGGGTTTCAACTTGTGCAGATCATTTATAACCAATTTCG